TCATTTGTTTCTTAAGGCTTTTATGACAAGAGGCTGAAGGTATCTTTTTTAATTCTGTTCTGGGTTTTTGGCTTCCTTGCACTTTGACCTCTCCAGCTTTACTAGCTGGCAGATAGCATAGGAAAACCAGGAGGATGACAATAGGGCCGACATATGAACAATCAGAGAGCAAGGGTTTCTAATCAAAACACTTCTTCCTCCTACTGAACTCAAATTCCTAAAAATACTTAGGAGACATCTTAATCTGCGAAAAATTCACCAGTTCCATCTTTATCAAAAGTCAAAGGGCTTTCACTTCAGCAGTTTCTTGAAGGAAAAATGAAGCTTCGTCAGTCTGATACTCCTTTCATACACACACAGAGGGAAAAATATTTTTGTGCATTTTACTGGAACCTTCTGAAATCAAAACTCAAGGCACTGAAGGACACTGCATTGGTTCTTGAATCTGCCTGAATGATCAGGGCTCTCATTTGAAAGAGATATAAAGAGAATTGTGTCTTCTAGGACCTAGTTTATTCACTTCAAAGCAAAAATGTATCTTCTCAAGTTTATCTTTAAAAAGTTTCCATTATTAGTTTTGCTTCTTTTAATTTATTCCCTCTCTAAGATCTTTTCTCTGCCACTTGAACCAAATGGATTAATTCAGCCAATGTTGTAACATTCATTTGAGGTAAAAATGCTAACTTCAGATGTCAGTTCCCTTGTTTTATTTGGTCATTTTGTGACTACATTTTGTGAGGTTTGTAAAACAGCTTAAAAGAATAACCTGTGTACTGGAATCCGATCCACCTGTGCAGACTCCACTGACTTCATTGGATTTACCTGAGCTGATCAAATTGTAGGATCGGTTCCTACATTTATACTGAACTCTGCCAGATGCAAGTAACACATTGAAAAGAAATCAAATCTACCCCTTAATATACCACAGATTATCCTTACATGGTAGATAGAGATTCAGTGTAGCCATAGCATCATCTATGCTTATGCTGTCCCTGCCCAGTTTGTTAAACTGTCAGGACAAAGTGAACACCAGGGTGAAGATGGATCTGTGGCAGACAGGAGGTAATCATCAATGTGGACCCTTGAAAGAAGGAAAGGATTTGTGGAGGCAGGTTTTTCTTCTGAAGAAGGTAGAGGAAGGTGATAAGGAAACCGCAGTGGATAGATGGCACCGTAGGTCTCAGGCTGATGCCTATGCTGCCCTTAGCTTCATGGTACACAAAAGCTAAACGCCGTGTCCAGGTGGGGATGTGATGCACAGCCAAGCAAATGGAGGTGTTTTCATGGAGGAGAAACAGCTCAAATTTTGAAGTACTCAGATTTTCCATGTTATATTCTATATTTATTTTCATTTGAACATAATAGTTTGCATACTGGTTTGTTCGCTTAGCAGTACTAACACTTGGCAGACCTACCCAACATCAGGAAACACTTTATTTAACAGAGACAGTACCTGCCCATCTTTGCAACCCTTTCCTGTGATCAGACAAGCAGAGAACTACATTTGTGGATACACAACTACCTCCTCTAGTTAGCAAGTCCCGATTTAAATGTGTATTGTGTTCTTCTAGATCAGTAATCAGGTGCTTGGTAGAGATGTCACAGAAAAGGCTTGTGACAAAGCCAAGAACTGAAGTCCCATTTCCTAAATCTCAGCCTGGTACTTTAACTGGAAAGTTTCTTGTCTTCAAGAACTCTCTTGGCAAAGGGAATAGAAATTCTTTGGTATCCTTCACAGCCGGATAGACAAGTGGCCAGATACCATTACACGTGATAGTTACTTTTGGTGTCAAAAGTCAAGAGACTTAAACAACAGCAACTTTGCAACAAGGTGATCAATCGCTATGCTGTGTCTGAGAAATTCACCTTATTTTCATTCCACTACTCTGTGCCACCTTTTCTTGTATGTGTGATAGAGGGATGGCTAGAACATACAAACCATCATTTTTTTTTCTAGAAAGACCACACAACTCACTTCTCTAATACATACACAGCTCACATTCTGGCACTGACAGTGAGTTAGCTGCTGTATGACCTGTGGTGCACAACAAGCTACTTCATGTTTTGATGCCCGTTTGTAAATACAGTGATGTTAAACACCTCCCCTCCCTTACAGTGCAAATGTACAGATTATTCAAATTCACCACATGACAAGCACTTTGAGAACCTCTGCTGGTCAAGTGCTTCAGCAGAACAACCCATGCTGCATGAGAGGCGTCAGTTTTCTTATTGTCAGTACTTATTTTCCATTAATAACACATGTATTTTAAAAAGGGCTGTTGCAAGTGTACTTAACTGCATAGGTACTTTCCAGCTTCACCTTCTGCCTTCTACTCAGAGACACCACTTTTACAGCTACCCTTAGTTGTATAGAAAAAGATAGACCAGTAAAGTACCTTCCATTCCCTTTTTAATTTGAATGTGTATCACTGTAACATGTGGCTTCATAGTTTACTGTATCCAACAAAATTTGATGAGAAAAAGGAATCACTGGTAGTAAATAGAGACTGAGTTACCTCCTAGCATCTTACATGTAGACATACAACTTTTTAGCAAAATGGGCTTGGTTTTATTGTGAAAATTAAAGTTCAACAATTCTTCTCTTAAACAGCAATGAAATTATATACCTTGACTCTGTGAAAGTTTTATGAAAGATGTGGCTTAGAATAACTGCTCAAAAATATACTTTAAAACATAAATTTATCATGGAATGCATTAAGTTCTAATGGATTTACCATCTTTGATTATTAAGTAATAATGATTTATGTCTCGCCTTCAAAGATGTTTGTTCAGTTAAAGAGAAATAATCAAACCAAAGATCTCTGAATTGAAAACATCCCTGAAAATTTTGTAATTATGTATTTTACCCTGGTTTCTTGAGGAAACAGCTTAGATATTGCACTGTCTGCCTGCCTGTCACCCTCAACATAAAATGGTAACGGGAGAAGACTGAAAGAAGACTGAAATAATGTTCCTGCAAACTTTGTGGAAATTGCTGCCTCATTAAAGAACCATAGAATTATTTCAGTTGGGAGTGACTTTCACAGCTCATTGGTTCCAGCCCCTGCTCAGAGAAAGACTGGGGTTATCTGGAGCTATTTGTCACTTTGTGGAAAGAAAAGCCATGAAAGTCCGGGTTTATTGCAGATGCTGAGGGTTAGAAAACACCGAAAATACATTTACAGGACATGAAACTTCATCCATCTCACTAACAGCGCAACAAGTTGTTATAGCTACATACATTGCAGCCAAACAAATTAATCTAGTTTTTCCACCCAATTTCATGCCTTTAACAACGTTCTCTGCCTTTTACCTCATATGCTGCAGGAGCTTGTGATTATTTTCTTCCCAACACTCAGCTTGAAGGTGCTTGCAAGAGCCACTGATCACTTGGTTGAAATGAAAGGTCTCTGATTTGTCATTGTGTTCATCTAGAGTGTCCAGGACAATGGATTTGATTCTTTGGTTCCCTAGATAAGATCTCCTGGGATCCACCTTTCACTCTTCAGGTACAAAGCAAGCCAGGCAGCATTAGCAATAGGGCAAAGCATTAGAAGGACCACAAACAAGCAAAAAGAATGCTTCTGGCAACAATGAGGATATTTTATCTACTTTTATCCCTGTAGTACCAACCATCTCTGACCATGGATATGGAATGAAGGAGAAGAACTGTGACAAATGAGAAGAGGCTGCCTGAGTGGGGCAAGCAGCCTGGTATAACTGCGGGTATGGTCCCAGGAATGCACACTCAATGTCTTGTGGAAGCACTGTGCTGGCACAGAGGCACATTTGCATTAATGTATATTCCTCCAGAAACACAGCAGAGTAAGCTGCGCAAACAGCAACCCCAGTTTTGCTGGTTTAATGCATCTGTATTACGTGTGCTGCTTTAATTGCTCTTCTGTCATTAAATGGCTATAAATTTTCTTAATTATAGACACAGCCACCTGCACACATTATGGAGCACCGTAAGTGGTGCTGGAAGTAAGTGTAGAGACTGGTCAGGAGAGGACATCTCTGAAGCTGAAGCCAGGGCAGCAAATGGAGCAAAGAGAGAAGCAAGATTTCCTGAGGCAGCCGAGGAACAGAGAGGAGAGCAGCAGACTGGCAGAAACACTCTTGGTCTAGCTGACTCTGCATGGGGCAGAGAGTGGGACAAACACCTTCCTGCTTTCCTTCAGCCCAGTTTTCTGTGGTTCCCTCCTATAGTTTTCCCTGCAGTATCCATAAGGCCCTGCTGAAGACAGGGGGATCCCACCAACAGGGCAGGGTAAGCCTCCCCAGCTTCAACATGGCTAGAATCTCTCACCTTGAGGGCAGAAACACAGCGCAGACAGAGGACTCGCTCTGGTTCCTGAAGGCTCAGCCTGCCACACACGCAGAGGAACACAGGCTTGAGAGTGTTTTAAAAATAAATAGCCTGAGTTGGATTTATTTTTATATTTCAGGGAGGTTCAGGAGCAGGCCAGCCTCACAAAATGAAGCTCATTTCTTCAATGGCATTTTAAAGATGATAGCACGTCTTTAACTTCATCTCTCATTACAATGACTAATGTGGAGAGAATGCCGGGAGGCTGCAGCCAGACTCACAGCCCTGTTGACCCCATAGCACACATTAAGGGATCTCCTTTGCCTACTAATCTACCACCTCACCTGGAGGATGAAATCCTCTGCTCAGGTGCAGCTTTCACCAGCATTTCATGTGGGCACAGGGGCCAAGAGGGACTGGATTAGTTGACAGGATAGAAGCCTAAATTTAGACCAGATTCAGTAAGTGGGTGTAAGAAATGAAAGAGTAGAAAAGGAAGGACAAGAATAAAAGCAATAGGAATGGATACATAGATTGTATTCATCGTGTTCCCACTTATGATCTTTATTTTTTGAGTATCAATAACCCTTGCCAGAGATTTGCCCAACTCCTCTGACAAGGAATTTGCCATCAGAACTACAGTAGACAGGAATCACTTGCAGAGGGATGTGGCTGTTGAGGATGGGGGGTACAGTGCAGAAACCCATTTATTAAGGAAATAGAAGGCATTTATGGAACAGCTGGAGAAATAAGTGACTGGGTATTAATGCTGGAGTAGAGGTTGGGTGAAATGCGGGCAGCAATGGTGTGTCCAGGTGGTTATACAAAGGGTGACTGTCCTTTCCTTCAAATAACAGAGTTTGTGTGTCTTGTACTGAAGAAAGGTGAACAACATAGTTTCAGGATGGAGTGGCAGTGGACCAGAAAAAAAATCAGCATAAGTATTTTTCATGTAGTTGGGGTAAAACATTAGAATATGTTGAGACCTGCACTTCACCTTAGGCATGGCAATTAATAAGATTTCTATTTCCTGTCTAGAAACAATCCAATCACAGTGCTACAATCACTGTTTGATGGTATAAAACGCCTACTAATTAATTATTTCATAGATGCATCTGAGATTATTATATGCACATACTTAAAATTTATTCCCTCTTAAAATAAGTACCTGAATCAATTCTCAATAGATTTTTTCCTTCTTACTCACGGCTATTTTCACATGTCTTTTCAAAACATTATAAGGTAATTTAGTCTGGATTGTAGCTGGACTCTGAGAAGATAAAAGTTCAGTTAAATTAGGAATATACAATCAAGTGCTAGACTGTGATATGCCATCTTTACACAGCAATGACGCATTGCTCCTGCATCCAGTTACTGACAAGAAAATTCCTGCCTTTCTCTTCCTTACTGGTCTTACCCACAGCAAAAGGTTTGTACAGTTACATTTTGCATGACTTCTACTCCTCTAAACCAGCATAGGAAGTCATAAATTTTGGAAAATCAGTTACCTTAAAATGAACTGAAGCTCAAAGAAGTTTTTGTATATAATGGAATGTGTTTAACACTTACAATAACATCAGTTTATGGTTGACTTTAGGGACTCACTCTGTGCAGCAGTGAAATTGTTTTCCTCAGTTGTTCCCTGCCCACAAAGTCAGTGTCCATGGCTGAAGAATCGGGTAATAAGCTGCACCCACCTTGTTGTTGTGACATACCGGTTCATCCTGTATTGGGGATGGCTTGTGGAGGAAGGACAGAGGGATGAGTTTAAACCTGTGTATGATTTAGGAGGTTGGAATGGAAGTCATTAGGAAAGAGCAATTGTTCTGGGAGGTAATTATAGGGGAAGACTGGCAGTAGGGAATTCAGAGTTTAGGACATTAAGAAACTAAAGATATGTGCATCAATCTCTGTCTGAACCTCTGCCCTAATCCTCCTCTATTGTCAAGATATTTTAAACCCAAATCTAGCAGATTTGGTATGTTTTGGTTTGGTCAATGGTAACAAACCATTTCCAGATTATAAATAATTTTTCTTTAAACGGCTTTTGAAAATTCAGGGGAACAACACGGAAAGTCAGAATGTACTTTTTGGAAGGCAAAATATCAAATTTGCTGTTTTTAAAACCTGATCTTCCCACTACTATTTCCAACTTCCCTTAGTTTTCCTCTTTCTAGAGTTTTATCACTTAAGGCAGAGCTTCAAACCTGGACATTCTTTTCCTCTCCTGCCCACCCCTCCAGACTCCATGAAGGGGCCAGCTGGAGCCCAGACAGGCGGGACTTGTCCCCCAGATCGCTTTTGACTTGCTCATTTTATAAACTAGAAACAAAAATAAACTTTCAGTTCACTTATCCACTTGCAGTCAGAGCAGCACTGTCTGCTTTGGGTACATTTTCAGTCCCTTCAAGAGGCCAAATTTTGCATGTCCTGAACCCTTCCCTTAACAAATGATTCAGCTGCCTTTTCCCCAGCCTGTGAAATAAACACTGGACTGTTAAATACAACTCTCCATTGCCTTCCACATACTCTTTCATCCCTAAGTGAAGTTGCTTCATGTGTTACTCTAACCCCAAACTGGACCAAGTCAGATGTTATTCACCTGCACCCCTCCTTTCTCCTTCCAGCAGACAGATCCCTGCCCATAGCAGGGGGTTGGAACTAGATGATCTTTAAGGTGTCTTCCAATCTGAGCCATTCGGTAAGTTTATGATTCAATGACTATGCTCTCCACACAAGACACCCAGGTCACAAACAGTCTTGTTTACAGCACGTTCCTTTTTCCTCTCCCCACACATCACACAAACTCACCCTTTCTGCCTGCCTATGCCCTACACGTGTGGCCCAGGGCCACGAGGTGCCTGCCAGGCTTACTGCAGACACAGCTGGTGCCTGTGCCCCGGCTTCAAGGCTGGGATAGAGGTCTGGGCAGGCCCCGCCGTGAGCCCCGCACCCAGCCGCACACACGCGGGCCAGGGCACAAGGGGGAAACATGCCCACAGAAGCCCAGCGGGGCCTGCAGAAACCGATACCTGCCGCGGCCCCTGGTAAGGCCCCCGCCACCTCTGCAGTGAGAGGACCCGCGGTAGAGGCGAGGGCGCGGGCCCGGGCCTCCCTCAGGTGGAGCCGAAGCCCCTGCTCCTGGCCGGCGGCAGAAGCGAGCCTCCGCTGCAGAGGTCGCGAGGGGCTCGGCGCCTCGGCCGGTGGGCAGCGGCGGCCGCCCGCTCCAGGCTACACGCAGGTGGCGACGGCGGCCTTCGGGGAGGCCGCGGCGACGCCAGGACCCGAGCCCAGCCGCTGTAGCCCCGCCCCTCCGGCCTCCTGTGGCGGCGGCGGCTGCTGTTCCCGGGGCGGCCGCGGCGCTGCCTCCCCCTCCCCGGCTCGCTGGGCTGCCCCTCATGCGGATGTGACATTTCACGGCGTTTACCGCAGCCGCCATTTTGAGACAAGAGAGCGCTGGCGGCGGCGGAGCGGCACCAGCGAGCCGGGGCACAGGCAACGGGGGCGGCCCGCGGGCCGGGAGCAGTGAGCCAGGCGTCGGCCAGCGGCTGTGCCGGGGCGCTGGGGGGGGCGGGAGGGCAGAGGAGGGGCCCCGCGGCGCCTCCCCGACTTCGCAGCGCCGGGGACACCTCGCGGGGGGTGGGGGAAGCGCCGGGCGCCGCCGCCGGGCCCTGACTCCTGGTCTCCCGTCCCCCCCTCCCCTCCTCCCGGTCCCCTCCCCTCCGGCCCCCCGGGGAAGCCGCCACCCCCGGCCGGTCCCTCCTCCCCACCCCTTTCCCCCGACCGGGTGCCGCCGCCGAGATTGGGCGAATAGCGAGCAAATACGTGCGCGTCTCGCTGCCTCCGCCGGCTACCCGCTCCCTGTCCGCCGGAGCCCAGCCGCAGCCCCCCGAGGTGGGTGCTCAGTACCGGCCGCTGCCGAGGCCCCGCCGCTCCTCCGCCCCTTCCCTTCCCGACACAGGCCTGCAGCCCCCAGCGGGAAAGGCCCAGGCCGCCACCACCGCTGATCCCGAGCCCCATCCCGACATGAACCACCATCAGCAGCAGCAGCAGCACCAGAAGCCCGGGGAGCAGCAGCTGAGCGAGCCCGAGGACATGGAGATGGAAGGTAAAGCCCGGCCCGGGCAGGGCCCGCGTCCTCAACTCTGAGGAGAGTTTCCCCCCTCTCGCCCATCTCTTGCTGGTTCCCGGGGCTCCCCCGCCCGGCGCCGCGTCCCCCGCGGGGAGCTCCCGTCTTCCCTCCGCGGTAAACACGCGCCCAGCCCTTCCCTCCTTAGCGAGCGGACCGGCCGCCCCTCGCCGTCCCGCGGCTAGCCAGGGATCCCCCTCCCGGGACGCGGGGAGCTCCGCCCGGCGGCACTTCGGCCGGGGAAAGTTGCGGCGGTGAGGAGCAGTGCGGGGCCGCGGGAGGCGGCTCGGGGTGGGGGGGCTCCGCAGGAATTTGCATCGCGGGAGGGGGAGGATGCGGGGGAAGCGCTGCTACAAAAGGAGCCCCGCGCCCCCAGGGCGAGGCGTGCGGCCGTGAGCCCGGACCTTCGGCCTGGCGGGGCTGGAAGCCTTCCCGTCGGGAGGTGAACCCGGGAGGGGGATGGTGGGGACAGGCAGCCGCGCCCCGAGGGGTCCCGACGGCCGGGATGAGGGGGTTTTGGGGTTCGTCTCAAAGTAGTTGTGATTTCGGGGGAGGGTTTTGCCTTCTGCGGGGGAAGGGGGCGCGGCTGTCCTGAGGGCTGCCGGGCGGTGAACGGTGGGCAGCGGGGCCTAGCCCGACGCGGCCCGGTGTCCCCACTCCTGCCGGCGGTGGGCTTGAGTCCTGCCCTGCCCGGGGCCGTGCGGGGCGGCGCGGCCCGACCGCTCATTGTATGCAGGCAGCCACGCTGCTCGCCATTTTTAATTAACCCTCCTCTGAGGGTTATTTACAGGAACGGCTGCAGGCGGGCCTAGCGCGGGGTCGGCAGGCAGCGCTGGCCATGTGTAGCGCCTGCATAGCCCTCGGCCCGGATCCTGCACCGTCATGCAGTTGCGCTGGTTTCATAAAGGAGGCACTACATTTTCAGGCTTGTTCCCTCTCCCGTCCGGTGTGGTCTCCGCTGGTGCCTTTTGCATATTATTTTGCATTGTAGTGTTATTTTTACGCACCCTCCCTCCCCCCTTTGAACAATACCTTCCGCCTGGATTCAGCGATGTGAGAATTATTTTGGGCAAATGTATGGCAGGATTTTGTTCCCTGAGGAAGGGCAGCTACAGCATGCTGCTCATACCGATGGAATTTGACTTGGAGGTCAAAAATGCCCAACTACCTAAATATCGTTTAGAATGCCTGGCTGCGAAGATGCCAGTTCTGTTACGACCGTTCTAATCAACAGTGACATAAATATTTGCTAACACAAGATATTTTACTTGGAAACAATGACAATCGACTTAGTAAATATATCTTTCTGCTAAATAATTGCCATTGAAATCAGGAGGAGCAGAGATAGAAGTGGAGTGGAAGTTTGTCACGGTGACTGTGAGATTACATTTCAAGATTAGAAGGTCATTACATAAAGCTTTGCTTTCTTGAGCATAAATCTCTATTTCATGAAATAATAGATAAAATTTACTGTGAGAGTGACTGTTTCTGTTTTTGTTTTGAAAAAATCTCCAAACTGGGGTTTATATACTGTGTGACAAATACATTAAAGGAGGTGACTTTAAGTATACCTAGTATTTCTTTGTATGCACACAAATGTTAACATCTCATGGGTTATATTTTCCAGCAGATTGTTTGATAGCCCGTAGCAAACTGCTTTTTCTGAATACCCTTTTCAGGTCCTTTAGAATATTGACTGTATTTAATGTTTTTTAGTTTGATTTTTGTGTGCTTGATGCCCTACAATGCTGTGTATGCTGTGAAATGCTAAACTTTTTTATGCATTTTAAAGGTTTTCTGAATGTCTCTGAATTGCATCTTCTCTTTGAGTAGCGATACAGGAGTCCAAAATACAAGCAGAAGTCCCTTTGGTTGTGGAAGTCTTACACAGGTCACCACCTCCATTGGAGGGGTGAGGAAAGTCTCTGCATATATCAACATAGCAACACCAAGAATAAATACAGCGTTATCTTGGAAATCTAGTTGAGATCTATTAGGCCACACACAGCTGAGTCTCAGTGATACTACAAACTGGCTAATTGGTGAGAGTTTACAGAACTGTCCATTTATGCAAAAACAAAACTAAGAAAGTTTAGTCTTTGGAGATTTTTTCCTGCAATACTTGATTTTTCTTGAGAAATGTGTTAAGTTTACAAGATAGCAGAGATCAGATTATTGCTGAGTTTTACTAAAAGTTGACATCATGGATATATGTTTATTTAGTGTGTAAAACAATGTTCATTTTAATTTATGGGTGTGCTTTCTTGAGAGAGATGCTTTCAAGCAGTGAGGAAAATACTTAATAACGTGTAGTTAACTTAATTTTAACATGCAGGGAACAGTGTTGGATGCCATTCTTCAGTGAGTGATCATGTTAGATTTAGGAGGTATGTGAAGAATGCGCAGTGGAAAATGCGTATCTTGAGTTAGGTGCAGGTTCACTTATTCTATGTACAGCTATAGCAGATTATTGGTTTTGGTAAGCAAGATAACCATTTCAGGTGTAGTAAAAGAAGTGTGGAATTAAACTCTGTAGGATTAAATCAGATGTATTTTGAGTGTCTGCTCTCACGTCCCTGTTTTTCTCCCTTCCCTTTTTCCCTTATGACTAATTTACTCTTCCTTAATGGCATTATGGACACTGTGTATAAATAATAGTAGTACTAGACAGGGCCATAAGACTAAAAGAGGGAGGAAGAGATTCTCTTTAGAAGGAAAAATTAATTTCTGCATCATGAAGGAAAGAAGCAATGACAGCCTTGGTAAGGGCAGGTCCCCACTCAGCGGGACTAGGTGTGATGCAGGCTCACCTCCTTGCAATGCTCAGAATGCAGTGGTGTTACAAATCACCTCTGTGTGTGTTTAGTCTTCTGTTACCCGTGGATGTTGTTTGTAATCAGCTTTAGCCTTACTGAGGCTAAGCAGCAGCGATACATAGGGAAACTTTAAGGGATGTCTTGAAGGAGGTTGTGTTTCCTAATACAGTTGGCCAAACAGCGTTTGCTGCTGCTTACTTTCATCTTGTGTGCCATGCCAGCTGCTGGGCTGATTCACCTCCCTGTGAAGGTGAAGTCCTCAAGATTAAAAACAAGAAGTGGGGTTTTAATTTGGTTCACCCTGCAGCCCCATTTAGTGTTATATACTTGTGGTGAAGGTTTGGCATTGGGGTGGGAAGGAACAAGAAGGGCTGCTTGAGGCAGTGCAGATGCTGGCAATTATTTGGCCAAATTCTGTTGCTGGTTATGGATTTTGTGTGCGGCCTTGATCCACTGTCATATAAAAGCTTGTGATTCTGGCTGCTGTTGCTGCCTTCGGACTGAAACCACCGAATGGGAGTGTGCAGGTGAGCCGCTGGTGCCCGAGTTTTAGATAAATTAACAGTTTGTGGTGGTGATTAGTAAATTATTCTGTAGAAATTTTGAGGAGTTTATGCTGAATAAATTTAGTGCAAGAAATAATAGTTTTTCTGTACTGTAAGTAGGGTATATAGGTTGCTTTATTAGGCAGAGAATTACAGCTGTTTAGTTGCTAGTGAGTTGCTCTATAAAGTGTAATTGAATCCAAATCCCAGTACTTTTATATGATGTTTCTGTAACATTTTCACAAATGTGTCTGAACTTCAAACAACTTCGTTTAATACAAACCTACAGTTACATATTTTGTAAAGTTTTTTCATGGAAAGTCTCATTTGTGCTTACTAACTTGTTTATGGTTTGAATCTGCTGTTTTGGTAGGTCCAGCCTCTGCCCATAGTTATGTACATGTGTTTCGCATTATGGAAGTTTATTTTCCAAAGTAGCCAGTGCAAGATTACTGAGACACTGTCACAGTCGGTGAATATGTGGTGACTGGTAGTTC